TGTTGCCAGGGAGACAGCCAAGAAGAAACACCTTTTCTGGTCACAAACTCGTTTATGCTTCCTGTTGGGGAAGCTCTGTGTGGGTAGGTCAAAGTTCAATCAAGCCCAGGTTTATTTTGAGGAAACTCTCAGTGTCCCAAGAGAAGGCTTCACAGACCTCAGGCTGTTGGCCAGCATCTTCTCCAACCTTGCTGCAACATATCTTTTGCAGAAAAATACAGAAAGTTTCTTTGCTGTGACAGAACGACTTGTTGCCTTACTAATAGGAATCCCAGATTGTCTGAAAAGCTTAGAGGACAACTCTTCTCTTAAATACATGCTCAAGAAAGCTATCCTCTCTCACAACAAAATGGCAGAAGCCCGGGCTTGTCTGCTGTTGGCAAAGCACCACTGGACTTCTGCTATGGGAGCTCAAGTTGTTCCTTATCTGGAAAGGCTACTCATTCTTTGTGATGAAGCTCAAAGACCATGGAGGATCTCTCCCAGTCATGGATATCTGGCACTGGGAAAGCTTTACAGTGAACTTCACCGTCCCCACCTCAGTGCCAGTTCAGTCAGGAGAGCTTCTCTGCTGCCCTCTGCCACCCTCTCTGACTGTCTTGGCAGTATGGTATTACTTTTGGACAGTGTCGCTGAACAAGAAACTCCCGTTCCACCTCAGATGGCTCCATATTTGCACAAAGCTCTCACTTTTACAAAGCTCCAAAGTAGAGAGAGAAACCATTACCAAATTTTGAGCCACCAGCTCACTGTTTGTCTTTGCCAACTCTATTGCAAACACAAGATGACGGGACATGCGATTTGCCATATGCAGGCTCTCATCAACAACAGTCCTTCGAGGCAAGTTTGCATCTCTGTTTCAGAAAGAAAAGGTTTTCTCATCTGGCTGGCGTGGCTTCACATTGACAACAGTCAGCCTGCAGTTGCTTTGGACATACTGGAATCAATCCTGGCTTCGATTCCAGAGCACTGCACAACTCCTCAGGAAGGTGAGGGTGTTTCTATAAATCGCATTAAAAATTAAGTGTTTTTTAGTTTTCACCCAAATTTGCACAGATGACCTTCAGGCTGAGCCTCACAAAAGTTTAAGATTTGCTTCTACAAATATGTCCTTTTATAGCAAATTCACTGTAAAGCTGATAAACAGGAAATGATATCATATTTTATTTGCTTTTTATATTTCTGATCCCAGATCTGTATGGACCATCTCTTCCTGAGGTTTCATTTCTAAAATGTGGCATTTGACCTTAAGGGACTGGAATAAGCAAAGCTGTGTGTGCTGAGCTGTTTAGCTTTTTCATTTTGTCTTCAAACTATACTTTGTTTTAAAAACTGCAGCTCATATTTCAAAGTTGTAATCTGCTGTTTCACACTCTTAAATGTAGTTATAAACCAAGGTCTACCTCAAAGGCAGATAACACACAACAAGTAGTTAAACTTCAGGAATGTCTTAAAGACATAAAGACCTGGATGAGCTCTAATTTCCTGCTTCTAAATTCAGATCAAACTGAGGTTTTTGTACTAAAAATATCTGAAACATGTCTAACCAGATGCTTACTCGGGATGTTATCACGTTGGCCTCCAGTAACAGTAAGAATTTTGGAGTCATTTTCGACCAGGATTTGTCCGTTAATTCATGTATTAAATATGTATAGCTTTCTTCCATTTGTGCAACATCTCTAAAATTAGACACATGCTGTCTCAGAGTGATGCTGATAAATTAGTTCATGCTTTCATTACTTCCAGGCTGCTCTACTGTAATTCATTATTATCAGAATGTAATATAATTCCCTGAAAAGTTCATCTAAAATGACACCCTTTGTACTTCTGTTTAGTTAGAACTGGACCAGGTGACTCTGAATCCTTCCTTACTAATTGGCCTAGGAGTGTTTCTGCTTCACACTCATGCATCACTCAGCATTTAATGATTAGTTATTATTAACCTCTGCCTCTCTTCCACATCTTCATTCAGAGTTACATCAGAGTTTAACCACAGCTTTGCACATATAACTATTTTGGTATCTGGGAGCTTGACTAACTCCTTTTGTTATATATATTACATACAGCTGAAACTTTTAACTAAAGAAAGTGGTCACCTTTAGAAAGACTCAGGCCTTCGACTGATTAACTATGTGGAGTGTACTGTAGGATAAAGATTTAGCAAACAGGCATTTCTTAAATGTTAAAGTAAATTTCTTTAATGCAATGCAAAGGTGTGGTTCTCAACATGCGGGGCGTGGCACTTCGATGTATGGGTGATGTTCGGAGGGCAGCAGAGAGCTACCAGGCTGCTATTGACATCTGCCAAGAGTTTGAAGATATGCCAAACGGGGCCGTAGCTCAGGCCAATCTAGGTGAGCTAGAATATCCTACTGTGCATAAATGTTTCGTTCCAACTATGTTATGACTCTTTCTCATCTTCATAAAGGGTTGTTGTGTCTGAAGGCTGGAGCGAAAACACTAGCAGAGAGGCATCTGTGTGAGGCAGTTCAGCTTTTCTCTGAGCTCAGTGAAGAAAGCAATGTGGAAAACTTTATCCCCGTATTGATGGAGCTGGGAAAGTATTATGTGAAGCAACAGCAGCTGGACTATGGGAAAGGATGCTATGAGTGGGCTCTACTTCTGGCAATCAATGCTAACTTGTTAGAGTGTAAGTATGAATGTCACATAACCATAGCAGTATCTTATATTCTGTGTTAAAACTGTCCTTCTTTCTCTCTGTCACTTCGCCAGACGAGCTCGGTGTAACACGATGTCTGTGTCGTCTGTATGAGTGTAAGATTCCAAACCAGGTTCAGTGGATAATCTACAGTCAGCACCAAGTCCAGCTGCTGAGACGCACCGGATACAGAGAACAGGAGGGAGAAGCACTGGAAGCAATCAGCCAGATCTACCTTTCTATTGGCACAGAACAGTATGTGCATGTAGACTTGCAGTATGACTGGAATATGACATTCACTTACCTTTTATGCAGCAAAGTGCAGTGTTCTGTGGTTTAGATCAGATCGGGACTGAAAGCTGAAGGCTCCGGCAGTTTGAGAGCGAAGTGCTCTATTTGAGTGATACGGTACTATTGAGGTCTTTATGATAAGACGAGGCCTGATTATTCCAGACCTTCCATTTGAGAAGAATTTTAAACACTCCTGTCATGTTACTTTCACAGTGCTAAATGTGTTTTGCCCAGTGCTGGTTTCGGATATTTTTGTTTAGCTTTTTCATTCTACAGAACTCAAAGGGATCTATACACATTATAATTTCACACCACTTGCTCCTCTTTTATCCTTCAAGCTCGGGTCCTCTGCCAGAGGTCTGGGAGCTTGAGGGTACTGTGCAGTATCTTAGCCGTTCCTAAGACTGCGCTCTGCTGGACAGAGATCTCGGATGTCATTCCTGGAATCTGCTGGAGCCACTCACCTAGCTTAGGGGGTCACTGCCCCGAGTTCTCTGTTGACCACGGGGACCATGGTTGTCTTATTCTGCTTCTCCACCACTACTATATTTGGTTGGTTAGCCATCACCAGTTTGAATGACTGTATGAGTTGGCTTGAAGTTAGCCTCTAGTGTTGTTCGCCACGTCCCCATTGAATTCCTGATGAAGGCTCTTGGTTGATCTTGTATAGTTCTACACATTCAAGGATCCATGTGTGAGGCATCCCATGACCAGACTTTCTTGTAGTCAATCCAGGTAGTGCACAGGTTGGTCAGCCTGATCTTACAATCTCGTACAACTGCTCTATCTACCAGGAGCAGGACTGTCCAGCCTTCAGTTAGCCATTTTGGGTGTGTCTCATTCGTTAGCAACTGGTTCATTTGTGCTACCAAGCAGTCATGGAGTACAGTTAGCTTCTTTAGCCAGTATGCTTGAGTCGTGTCAGCGTCTGATGCTGTCCAACTCTTCATGCTTGAGACTCTGTTTCGATGTCTGCCACTGTGATGGTTACTGGATCCTGTTCAGGGAGGTTGCTGTGGTCTGCTATTAGCTACACTAGCCATTTAGCATTGTTATGTCTTGTTTCCTCCATTCATGTGATCTTCCAGTGTTGCTCCATCTCCAGCCTTGGTGGGGCTGTTTTCATCATGTTCCCCTGTCATGTAGTGTATACTTAACCTGTGGTAGCTATAACTCAGGTGCTAGAGCAGGTCACCTACTAATCAGAAGGTTGCTGGTTTGTTTGCCGAATGCTCCAGTCTGCATGCCAAGTTGCCCAAGTTGCTCTCTGATGCATCAGAATATGAATGCTTGTGATTGTCAGATAGGAAGAGTATATAAAAATAGTTTTTCCCACTGTCACTAAGTGTTTGCTCATAGGTGGCTGTATGATTGTGATGATTTTTTCTAATATTGTAGGGTTTACCTTATAGTGTAAGGTGCTTTGAGGCAACTGTTGTTGTGAATGGTAAATACAATTGAATGGAATCAAATTAACACTGGGACCACTGGGACCACTGTAGACCTTTAAAAAAAGTTATCTTTGAATTGTTTCAGGGCGTACCGAGCTGCTCTTGACTACACCAAGACCAGTCTGGGTATTTTCATTGACCTGGGCTGCAAGGAGAAGGAAGCATATGGCTGGCTACAAGCCGGGAAGATCTACCAGCTGCTGGGCCAGATTGAACTGGTGGACATTTATGTTCAGGTCTGATACCAGTGTTTTCATTTGTATTGTCTTAAACTTTTATTATTCTCAGAATTGCAAGTTTACATTGAAAACTATGTCAGCCATCATGAATATATCTCAAATTCAATCCATCCATTCGTCTTCTTCCACTTATTCTGGGTCAGGTTATGGGGACAACAGCCAACTCCCCAGTCACTTCCTCCAGTTTTTCAGGGAAACACTGAGGCATCCAAGGCCTGGTGAGATGTAACCAGGACACACTGGTGATGTAATCTCACCAGTGTGTCCTGGGTCTGCGTAGAGTGGAAAAGTATTTTAAAAGAATTACTCCACTTACCACAACTCTTAAGTCAGATAATCAGCAAAGAAAATGTGTGGATGAAAGAGCAGTCTTCACAATTTTAGCGATTTCGGCTTTGGCCAAAATGAAATTTGTTTATCATACACTGAAATCCTGTATTTCTGGTGTTTTCAGGCAGCTCAGGATGTAGCTTTGAGCACAGGAGACACAAGCTTTATCTTGAAGCTTCTTGAAACCGCAGGAGACATTTTCTTCGACAGCTGCCGGGAC